ACCTTGCAATCGACGGAGAAAATCTCTCTTTTCGTCGCTCGCTTGCTTTTCTGTTTTTCCGTGTTTTTTTTGTTCCCTGTTTGTTTTTATTTTTCTTTTCGCTTCGTTTCTTTTGCTTTTGTAGTTGTCGCTCACCGAAAAAGCATTCTGCTCACCGATCGCCCGCTTGACTCCCGTCGTCCTCCAAAAATCTCGGCTTACTCCCGACGCACGTGTGATATTTTCGTCCCGCCGTGGCGGCTCACGGAACACGCACTCTTCGCCTCACGTTTCGCTTCAACACCAATCGAAATAGAAAGAGAGAGAGAGAGAGAGAGAGAGAGAGAGAGAGAAAGAGAGAGACAGATAGACAGATAGAGAGAGAAAGAGAAAGAGAGATAAGTTTCGTGTACACCACGGCAATTAGAACCATTCTCCTACAATTTCTTCCTTCCGCTCCTTTCGATCCGTCCCGGCGTGGTCGCAGCCCGTTTCTTTCTCCGTTCACGAGGACGTTCGGCACACTTGTCGCGCGCTGAACAGCGCGTCGACCGAAGGTTTAGGCGCGTAAGCGTCGCCGTTTAACGCGCGTACGTACTTCTCTTCGCGGCGTGCGTCGACGACAGTCGTCTGACGGCGTCGAACGACGCCGTTGACAACGAGGCACCGTGGTTCCTAGATGGTGGTCCATCTAAGCGCTGGCCGTGCTGCGACGACGGAACGGCTATATACGTCTCTCTTTCAAGTTTCGGCGAACTGTCACTCCTTCTGTCTTGTCCTCCTCGGAAGATCTCCGACGAAGATGTCCGACGATGACTCCGGTCATCGAAGGACACGATATCATCGTTCGCCTGTTGCGACGCGCTCGTCGCGCGTCGTCGATCCTTGCACCAGCTCTTACCGAGAGACAACGACACACGTTCGACGGGAATCTTCCTTTACGTCAACGGCGCGGCGCGGCGCGGCGCGACGTCGTTCCGAATCGAATCGGTGACACAATCCCCGGCCGACGTTGCTTTCACGAGCGCGTTTCACTTTTGTTTACTTTTCCCCGGGACCGCGAGCCGCGGCCGATACCGACGACGACTCATTTTCCCCGACGATTCCTATCGTCGATCGACAGTCGGTTTCCCCGGATGATCGATCGAGCGGCGACGATGGATCGCGCACAGCCGCGGCGGCGGCGACGACGACATTCGGCGAGGCTCTTCACTGTGCACTTGTTGTCACGTGTCGGCGGCTCGGTGCCGTTCGCGCCGCGTACGCCGCGAATTCGTCGCGTTACCGTCCTAACACTCTCGCGGAGATGAGACTCGCGGCGATCGAACGCGGGCGGATCGATCGCGGGGAGATCGATCGCGGGGAGATCGATCGCGACGGGAGACTTTCGGGAAACGATTCGCGCAACGAACGAACGAACGATCGAGCACAGAAGGGAAAACGAAAACGCGTTGATTCGCGCGAAAGGTCGCGACGGTGTTGATGCCGTCGCGAGTGCCGGGATCTACGTTTGCCAAAAAGTGAAACTGCACAAGGTCGAGCAACGTCGAACCGAGCGAGCCACGCGACGCGCTGTCGGAAACGATTCGGGATCCACTGACGGCCCCGCGCGCACACGTTAACTGTCAACCGTGCGATTTCACGTGTCTCGGTAGAGCTGTGTTGCGGCGCGCCGCGGCCGATCTGGCGAATCCTGTCGATCGTGCTCCGGAGGATCGGGTGCTCGCTCGGCCGCGGATGGAAGGTGCGTGTCCCGTGTGTCAAATTCCGTGAGATATTATATCGGTGTGGTTCACGGATCGAGCTTTTCGGCGGCCGTGCCGAAAAATCGGTCGCCGCGTTTCTCTCTCTCTCTCTCTCTCTTTCTCTCTTTCTATCTCGTTTTTTTCCTTCGCTGGGGATCGTTCGTGACGGTCGAGCAGCAACGGCGACGACGACGACAACACACAAACAACAGCGGCAGTGGCAGTGGAGCCCGGTGCGTCGTCGTGCGGTAATTATTCTTTTTTTTTTTTAGCAGGAACGTGCACGAGCGAACGACGACGACGTTGACGACGACGTTGAAGACGACGTTGAAGACGACGACGACGTTGACGACGACGATGAATCAAGAAAAGAAATTCTATCGGAACAAGGCTACGCGCGTGTTCGTAACGCGTATTACGGGAGAACGGGGAAAAAAAACTTCTTCACACCCCTGAGCCGCGAGAGATCGTCGGCGATTCTCTCGTCGTGTTGGAAAAAAAAATATTAATGACGGCTGGTTTTATCACAGAACGCTCCTGGCGACGTAATCACGCACTTCGAGCCGCGGATAACGGATTGACACTAGCATTGAAATATTTACCTTGCTACATGTAAAATGAATAGAGAGCCTGCCTGAATCGAACGAAGGAAGGCTCAACCGGCCCACTGTGACGTCGCCGGCCTACTGTCAGCTCAGCGCTCGCTCGGCCCCGCGGTCAACTAACCTACCGTGTTCGCCGCGCAGACTTTACCGACCAAATAAATCGATCCGCCGCCGCCCACGCGCACAATTCGGCCCCGATAAATCGAGCACCGTCGTTTAACTATTTTACGTGGAAATCGCGAGCGGGCCCGATCATTTTTATCGTACGCGATGTCGCCACGGTCGCTCGCTTGACTACCGTAGTAGTCAGGTGTGAAACGCTCACGCGCACAGCCGCACACACAGAGACGGCGCACGTTTCCCTCGCAGATCTCGCGATTCGTAGAGCCATAGGCGTCGTTGGACCAAAAAAACTTATGTTCGCCGCGTGTAAGGGTGGGAGAAGAGACGGAGAACGGGAGAGAGAGAGAGAGAGAGAGAGAAAGAGTGAGTGAGGGAGAGGGAGAGAGCGAGGGAGAGGGAGAGAGAGTGAGAGAGCGAGAGCGAAGGAGGCGACCGAGCGATGAAGAGAGAAGAAGAGCGAGACAGAGCGCGCGTGTAAGAATATCAAACGCATTGACGTCTTACGCAGCGTCGAGGGTAATTATTTCGGACGTAGTTCGCCGCGCGGCTGACCTCGAAATTAGAAATTTCGCACGGTGCCGCGGCGACGGGCGTAACTCGAATTCGCGGCGCGTGACAGAGACGCGCGCGGATTCGAGCGGAGAGAGAGAGAGAGAGAGAGAGAGAGAGAGAGAGAGAGAGAGTGAGAGAGAGAGAGAGAGAGAGAGAGAGAGAGAGAGAGAGAGAGAGTGAGAGAGAGAGAGAGGGAGAGAGACGGCCGCGTTAACGGAACAGATATTCGCGTGCGATTCCGTCCCGATCTGTCACAAGTATTTTCTCCGTCGCTGCGCCCGCCCCGCCGCTGCTCCCTCCCTCCCCCTCCCCTTCGCCCCTCGGCCCGTCAAGACCGACTCCTTTTGTTATATAGTCTCCGCGCGACGTCCTCTCCGCGGAACGCTTGCCGGAAATTTATATGGAGATTTTTCTTTCCCGCGTTAAGGACGATTGTTTCGCGAGCTTTCAAAGACTGTTCGGCCGAAAGGTTCCTCTCTTTTCCATCCCTTAAAACCACTTGTCGGTTCCTCCATCTTGAAATCGAATAAAGACCGTTTTTTTTTTTTTTTGGAATACTCGAGACCGTGTCCTTACTCGGCAGCCTTTCCACGGTTTTCGGAGCTCGTTGTATGCCTGTCGCCGGCGCTAAGGTAATGTCTCCCTTACTGACGCTCGGATTGTCCACAAAAATGGACAATTCGGGGAGAGGCGTTTTTGTAGTTACCGATTGCTAATAAATATAGAAACGAGCCGAAATGCTCGAATATTCGTATCTTCTCTACCTAAATTGTCCATTTTAGTAGACATTTTTGAGCGTCAATTAGGGAGACATTACTGTATTTAATAGAACGCGTCTCCCATAAAATGTACACTAATGTCTCCCTTACTGACGCTCAGATTTTGCATAAAAATGGACAATTTGGGAAGAGGAGATACGATTGTTCGAGCCTTGCGGCTCGATTTTGTAATTACCAATTGCCAATAAATATAAAAACGAGCCGAAATGCTCGAATAATCGTATCTTCTCTACCTAAATTGTCCATTTTAGTAGACATTTTTGAGCGTCAATTAGGGAGACATTACTGTATTTAATAGAACGCGTCTCCCATAAAATGTACACTAATGTCTCCCTTACTGACGCTCGGATTTTGCACAAAAATGGACAATTTGGGGAGAGGAGATACGATTGTTCTAGCCTTGCAGTTCGTTTTTATAGTTGTTGACAATCGATAACCATAAAAAACGAGCCACAAGGCTCGAAAAATCTCTATTTCCAAAATTGTCCACTTTTGTGGATAATCTGAGCGTCAATTAGGGAGACATTAGTGTATGTACGTGTAACACAGTATCGTTGTTGTTGTTGTGTGTTGTTACCGCGAGTGGTGGGAACGGGACCAATTACGCCAGAGACTTAACCAGTTAACCGAGGAGATTCGGTCAACTTAACTCCGTCGTTTTTTCGCTATCGTTTTTGTTTCCTTTTTATTTTCCTTTTTTCGTCTTTTCGCGTCGTCTTTCATTTTCCTTTCAACTCGCGGCCAATAATTCTTTCGCTTTGCCGCTTTGTCACGGTATCCGTAGTAGCAACGTGAATTATATATTGCGTTCGCGCTGGTCGCGACGGTACAATTGCTTCATCAATTTAATTGTTCTTGAAAAGTCGTTCGATTAGCAGTTAAGCGATCGTTCCTGCCGGCTGCTCGAAAATGAGAAAAATTCATTTTCACCGGCGGCGTTGGATCTCTCTCTCTTTCTCTCGCTCTCTATCTCTCTTTTGCTCTCTCTCTCTCTCGCTCTCTTGCTCTCTATCTCCCTTTTGCTCTCTCTCTCTCGCTCTCTAACTCTCTTTTGCACTCGCTCTCTATCTCTCTTTTGCTCTCTCTCTCGCTCTCTATCTCCCTTTTGCTCTCTCTCTCTCGCTCTCTCTCTCTCTCTTGCTCTCGCTCTCTATCTCTCTTTTGCTCTCGCTCTCTCTCTCTCTTTTGCTCTCGCTCTCTATCTCTCTTTCGCTCTCTCTCTCGCTCTCTATCTCCCTTTTGCTCTCTCTCTCTCGCTCTCTCTCTCTCTCTTGCTCTCGCTCTCTATCTCTCTTTTGCTCTCGCTCTCTCTCTCTCTTTTGCTCTCTCTCTCTCTCTCTCTCTCTCTCTCGCTCTCTCACTCTCTTTTGCTCTCGCTCTCTATCTCTCTTTTGCTCTCTCTCGCTCTCTCTCGCTCTCTTTTGCTCTCTCTCTTTCTCTCTCTCTCTCTGTCTCTCTCTGTCTGTCTGTCTGTCTCTCTCTCTCTCTCTCTCTCTCTCTCTCTCTCTCTCTCTCTCTCTCTCTCTCTCTCTCTCTCTCTCTCTCTCTCTCTCTCTCTCTCTCTCTCTCTCTCTCTCTCTCTCTCTCTATCTATCTATCTATCTCTCAGTGCTCTGTGCATTCTGCTTTAGGATTCCGTTTTATGATTCTGATCTTCGCGCGGTCCGCTCTCGAATCCGAACTCCCGCGAAACAGTCGTTGAAAATCATGACAGCGATGCGTGGACACGATTAAAATTTTAATGGCCCGATCATTGATAGTGTTCGAAGTCGAACGAATCGAACTTCATAATAGCGGAATAGCAATCGAGTATGATCATAACTGACTGACTCTTGTTTCATTCTTTTCTATCCACTTTTGACAGACGAAATCTATTTTCTTCGACTGTTCGTCTGTCGAAAGTCTATTAACGCTAAACCCACCAAGCAGTGATACTAACTGGCATGTACAGCTTCACAAAAGTGGTGAAGGCCGAATTTATTTGGAATTTGTAAAGTTTTTCTTATAAGAGACTTGATCCAATAATATAACTTATTCAAGCGTTTTCCACGGAAGCAGTCTCGGAACTTTGCAGAATTGCAAAATAAGAAAGCGGTCACTTTGACCGCGGTAGGTTTTAGCGTTAACACGTGACAGTCTATTAAATAAACACCCGAACGAAAACGATTATATTATGATACGTTAATGGAAATATGTCTGTTCACAATGAAAATCGTCGCCGTTGTTATCGACGAATTCATTGAGAAGATACACCTTGTGGAATCGTGAATTTGTGAAAACTATTAAACAAGTGGGCACTCGAGTGGGCAATAGTCGGTTAGAAAACTATGCGTTTCATAGTTCGAAATATTTAAATGAAACGGGAGTTTTGCATATTCATGAACGCTGATCGATACGTAAACGTTTTGAATATACTCCGGAAAATTATAATAAATGGAATATTCATATTCCCACAGCTGGTTATTGTATTTATTATGCCCATTGTAATAACAAATTCTATTGCTCTTAACATATCTAGGCTATTTATACGTTTTCAAATGTTTCTCTGCTTTTATTATTTTTCGGTATTTATATTCTACTTGCGAACGGAAACGTGTATCCGCGGTCTCTTTTTTTCTTTTTTTGGAGGAGACACGTAATTCAAACTGTGTGCTCGAAAACGTTTTTAATCTTCAGTTTACCTGAATTTTCGCGACCGATTCTGACGATCCTAATTTCGGATTCGTACGCCACTTAGGCGTGTCCTTGAAGGACGCCGATTATGCAACAGCTTCGACTTAAAAGAAAGCGCAACCATTTCAACAATCGAAGATTTAATTTGTGCGAAATATTTATAAACAGAGCATTTTGTTTTTAGGATCATATTTTATTATGGTATAACCGTGTTGGAACGTCAACGATACTTTACAAAAACAGAAAAATGTATTTTCACTATGTACGAAAGTGAGAGTAATTATTTTTAAAATTATTGTTATTACGTTATTATTCTTATTCAGTTTATGTTTAATTCTCGCTCATAAATTAGGAAAATGTATAGAAACGTAAAAATTGCTATGTCCTTTCTTAGATACTTTATTAATTTAAAAAGCAAGCCGTTTATTATTATTAAGCAAGCCAATTATTGTTATTACGTTATTATTCTTATTCAGTTTATGTTCAATTCTCGCTCATAAATTGGGAAAATATATAGAAGCATAAAAATTGCAACATCCTTTCTTAGATAATTTATTAATTTTAAAAGCAAGCCATTTATTATTATTACGTTAATAATAATAATTATTATTATTAAGCAAGCCAATTATTGTTATTACGTTATTATTCTTATTCAGTTTATGTTCAATTTTTGCTCATAAATTGGGAAAATATAAAATTGCTACGTCCTTTCTTAGATAATTTATTAATTTAAAAAGCAAGCCATTCTGGTAAAAGTATATAGGGTGTTCAGGGAATCGTGGTACAACCGGCAAGGGGCCGATTCTCTACGTGCAAAAATAAGTTGAGAGAGAGCAATATCACATTTTTTTATTTAAAGCTCCGATTTCGAGAAAAATTAGCTTGATATACCAATTCTACTGTCTCGTCGTATTACAAGCCACGCGAATTCGACGCATCTTGCAACTCGATTTTCTCGAAAACGGG